CCCCACCCCCAGCCTTTACGGAGTTCCAGTTTGGTGTTGCCTTAAGTTACATGGACGCTGACTGCAAGGAGCCATTCGGCAAACCTGCCAAAACGCGGGTGGGAGAATTACATCAGCCCGCGGGTTCGGGCAGGAGGGGAGCTCTGCACGCTGATCCCCGCAGCGATCAGGTCTGGGGAACAGCCGGGATCTCCCACCGGGCCTTGGTACACTTCTGCGGCTGTTGCCACGCACCCAGCTGAGTTGGGTCTTCCTTTTGCCTGGGCCTATAACGTCAGCCCGCCGCTTACCTGAGGCTGAGGGGGCCCTGTCACCTTAGGACTGCAGGATCACAGGTCCCGTGCCAACGGAGGTCTGAAACCAGAGCTGTCTCTGGCATCCAGCGCCAGCCCTGGCAGGCCAGTAGTGGCAGTGCTGCCACCCTGGAAGAGGGGAAAAGCCTCAGTTCGAGGGCCAGGAGGAAAGGAGGCAGAGGCCAGCTGGGGGGCCCGCTGACTGCTCCTTGGGGATAGGTAGAGGCTTGATCTGCGGGAGCACAGCCAGGCAAGGGGACGCCGCCCATCCAGCTGGGCAGGTCTGGCCGGCTGGCCGCTATGGAGGGAAAAGGTCCCCGGCCTAAAAAGAGCTCCCTTCGGGGACCTCCGAGCCCCCCTTTGCTTAGCCACAGTGCGAGTTCCTGGGCTCACCCCTCCCACGGACCCCTAAGCCATCGGGGTGGCGCTTAGGCAAGAGGGTGGGCCAAACCCACACGGGCCGCAAGAGGGTTCCGGGCGCTGCATGAATCCAGCCGAGAGAGGGCCGTTTCCTGCCCGCCTCTGGAGAGCTGGAGCAGAGAGATGCTGGGCTCCCTGATGCCCCTTTGCGCCTCCCCAGGGCCAGGGCCAGAGCAGGCCATCTTCCCGGTGGGCCTGAGCCAGCCACACACCTGTGAGACTTGGAGAGCCAGCGGAACCTCCAGTGGCCCACGGTCCACGGATGTCAGAGTCTCCGCTCCCGCAGTGGCTCCCATCGGGCGGTACCAGCTGAACGTCCACTTCGACTCAGGCCAGGGCTTGTCGTCCTCCTACCAGCTGGGCGAGTTCCTCCTCCTCTTCAATGCGTGGTGTCCAGGTACCAGAAGTGCTGCCCCCCACCCCGCCATGGGGCCCTCCCTCCCTTTCAAGGCCATAGCTTGCCTCAAATGCCTGGACTGAACTAAGCAGGCTTGGGCCTGGCGGGTCCTTGGATGGGAGGCCACCAGGAGATCCCAAGGCATAAGAGCACCCAGAACTCTCTTCCGGTCAGGCCACCTGGAGCTGAGTTTGGCTCCAGAGACTCTAAAAGGCTGGGGCTGGGCAGGGTCCCGCCAAAAAGAGGGAGAAGCTTATTTGGTCCTTACGGAGAACCTAAAATTATTGGGGGAAGAGCAGGGAAAACATGAGGAGGGCATCTGCTCTTCTTCCTGTGCTGCGCAGACGACGACGTCTACTTGGAGAGTGAGGCCGAGAGGCAGGAGTATCTGCTGAATGAGCACGGCATCATCTTCCACGGAAACAAGAACTGGATCCACCCGGTCCCCTGGAACTACGGCCAGGTAGCGCGCGGTCCCCCCAGGCCGTGGCGTCGTGCCTTCCCCCCCTCCCCCCCCATTGGGGAAGGGGGAGGGGCCCCTCCCCC